ACAATACCCTGTGACTGCTGTTCAGTTACTCACTATTTACACACACATTACATTACCGTCACGTTGTCACCCTCTTTTATATACCAGGCTACCCTATATCTAGTAAATACTAGAGCATTCGCCAAGGTACAGGATAGTTCTAGAAAATAGGTGGCGCCACACCAGTCACGTGACCTCGATGACGCAACAGCTCTTTTTAAAACCTCACAAACAATTAGGTACAATATATATATATATATATTAAACAAGTGAATAGGCGATATTAATGTGTTTTATATCTAAATCTGTGGAAAAATTATGTAACATACATTATTGACTACGCTATAATATTTGTCTCGTTCAAATTATGGATTTAACTACAAATTAAGATAGTGTGTGTTATATTTTTTACATGACACGTTGATGCTGGTGTTAATTGTAAGTATTAGTAGAGGTAATATGTATAACCGTAGCTTTCTACATTGTCTGTATAAATCCACATTTGTGATGCCGATTTCTCTGTATCCCAATGTAATAATATCTGTGGTATATCCAAGTGTTCTAGCATGTGATTAGTCAAATAAAATATGTCACCGTAAAAAGCACATTACTAGAAATGGAAGGTACTATCTGTGTTCTGCCAACCACAGGTATTGAAAACCGATTTCTAGCGTGGTAAGTCCGCAGACATACCGATTTGATTTTTAGTGTATTGCAGTGGCATATCCTACCCAGTGGCCTTTTTATCACACTTATATATATGTTACTTCTCCGTTTGTTAATTGATTTTCCGTAACTTCGTTCTGACGAAACTTTAGCGACACAAGTCCTTACTTAATAAAACTGGTTTATTCTTTCCGAATACAACTTTACGATACACTTATTTTCAACAGCCGCTCTATAACAAACGCTATATCAACGAACGTCAACAATACTTTTGACTGCAGTTCAATTACTCACTATCTGCACACACATTATTCCCGTCACGTTGTCACCCTCTTTTATATACCAGACTACCCTATATCTAGTAAATGCTAGAGCATTCGCCAAGGTACAGGATAGTTCGAGAAACTCATGTGACTTCGCTGACGCAACATATATATATATATATACTTGTATAACAGTAATCAAAACATAAAAATATTCAAAATCATCATGAAAAATGTGTAACTTTGCACCTCAATTACGAGCGAATTATTAGGTCGACAAGAAATTAATGTCGCGTTTTGGGACACTTTCATTAACCACCCCAGAAAAACGTACATCACGTATAATAGTTAAACGAACTGCCTAATCATCACGTTGGTGTAGCCTATATATTGTGTAAAGTTTAGTATACTGTAATCCCTTATAGTGATAGCACACGATGAGTCACACATTCGGCATGTAATGCTGTTTGAATACAAGAAGGGAAACAACACCTCTGTAGCCACAAAGAATATCATTGAAGTTTATGAAAATGTGTTGAATGTTTTCGTAAGTGTCAATGATGGTTCAGCAAATTTCGTTCAGGTAATTTTAGCCATAAAAACTGTGATGGCATGTTGGAATTCATATTGATGCTCTGAAGACGCTTGTTGAGTCTAACCCAATACAACACACTCGTGAAATGGCCCTGAAATTGCATGTCTCACATGAAACATTATGTAAACACCTAAAGAATATTGGGGAAAACTCCATAAAGAAGGTGCTTGGGTGCCTCACGAACTCTCTGATGATCATCGTTTCCAACATGTGAATGTTGCTTCGTCTCTTCTGGCACATACTGCATGTGAACCATTTTAGGCTCAGTCCTAGATAAAAACCACTTCTGACCCCCAAAACCTGGATTCCATCTGCAGAACTGATGCTTCGTAATTTGGTGAGACATTCGAAGGAGTAATTAATTTCAAACTCCTAAATCCACAGCAGATTGCTGCAGTCAGCTATAGTCAGTAACTGGAATGTTCAATCAAGCCCTTCATCAGAAACGTCTTTCACTCGTCAATTGGAAAGGCATTCTTCTCCACGACAATACACGCCCATATGTGGCACGTTTGATGCAACAGAAAGTTGGTTTGGGGAAATTCTACCCCACCCACCACATTCTCTAGTTATGGCACCATCAGATTACCATCTTAATGGAAAAACATGCAAATATGGAAAATGTTAAAGAGAACATCGACATGTTTTCTGCTTCAAAGCCAAGTGATTTCTTTAATCAGGGCATTAACGACCTGATTGTAAAATAGATAAGCATCTTCAATAAGATTGGAGACTATTCGTTTAATAAATGTTTTGTTTTGATACATATAAATCGTTCGTTTTTTTCATCTAAAGAAAAAAGCGACATTAATTTCATGGGGACCTAATACTTCCAAGGTATTTAACGCATGCTTTACTGTCTTTGTCATACCAATAACCATAGATGACACATATAATCAATACTCGCACAGTCACTGTGGTCAATGATGGCTATATCTCATGTAAATACATCTTGTCATTGAATTTTCAAAACTGCAGTAATTATAACGCAGCAATACCGAAAATATGCCATTGTGGTATTGGTAAGACAACTGATAAGGTTATCATTTTGATATTTACTTGAATACCATATCATGAAAATAACCTGAATGATTAGTTTAAATCAACCCTTATTAAAGTATACACAGCACAATTGTACTCTATTTATTAACAAACTTCAAACATTAGACAGGATATTATGATTTTATATCAGTTACATAAATTTATAGCTAATAATTCAACGTGATTGGATATATAAGGCCAACTGATCTGATAATGCTAACGCCCAATCTGTATCTAATGTTTAAATGAATCTTATATATTGAATGATATAAGACAAAATAAATCTCGCGTGTTCTATGTGTTTGGGCCAAAGAATAAACATATTCACGACAATCAAATTAATTCTTTGTTCACTTATGCATTAATACTAATTTGTAATAGGTTCATATTTTCTTAACTAACAGGTTATATATATTTACAAGTTGGAATAACTTTTATTTGTAAGCAATGTTTTGACCTATGATTGATGTTTGTTGAGGTTTTTGATGATTCCAATGGAGACAAAGTTAACTCCATTAGACTCTTGTACAATATAGAGATCACAAAAAATAGTTCCATCATTATCTGATACATCTTGGAGTAGCGACTGTAAGTTCAAAGCTGAACTCAATACAATTAACAAATCAGTGAATAACATGGCTGATCTGTCAGTAGTTGAATGAAATCTGTTATCATTAAAAAATATCCAAGTTTGTGTGAAGAAAAATGATGTAGAACTGATGTGTGAATAGATTGTCTATTATCGTTCTGTAATGAGTAGTGCCCTGGTAGGCTTAATTGTTGGAGTTTAAATTAAAACTACTCATTACACCAAATTTATTTATTGGAAGATTTGTCATGATGAGTGGGGCCACAAGTTGCTAACTAAAGGTAGTTTACAGTTAGACTAAAGAAATAATCTCAGGCCAATAGTGAACACTTATAATAACATTTATTAATCATTTAATTAACATTCAATAAAAAGCAAAACTTCGTTCATCAAAAGCAAACATTAAATGTTTTTCAAACTCAGTTAGAATTCTTATAATACCGTTAATACACTTTTTCCATTAATATACATGGATATATTTTAACATTCTGTAGAGTACTTGCAGTAACTGACTAAGAGAAAAATTACAAATGATGGAACCTTTCGTGTTGCCAATAGAAACTTCGGGAACTCTGGAGGAACTCCTTCTGACTCCTGGACGAACTGATTTTTCAG